AATAAGAGATCGAGATGGATGGATGAATGAGAAGACTCAGATTAATGCAAATATCTTGCTAATCAAGCGATGATTCACCAATTTATAAAGTTCTTAATGCTTCTTTAATTACTCTTCTAACATTTACACAGTATTGCATGCCCTTTCGATTTTCATGCCTGCCACCCTTTGATTGGATCAGCATAAGCAAATATAAACGAAATTGCAGTAGATGGTGTGCTCATCGGACTGCGCTGACTGCCAAGATTCCGCAGTATATTACACGATTTATGAACATTAAGCTAGGAGTCGTAAAAACCTTCAACAATATGTTAAAGCACCAGTAGATTGTTAAAAATAAGGTTAAACCAAAAAAATGCCGCCGTAGCAATGCTTTAGAGTACTTCGAGCACAATTACAGGTACGTGCTAGACTGTTTAGAAATGACCAAGTTGATGGTCATTTTATTTGTCACTCGGTTGGATTGTGAGCGATAGTTTGCACAGATAGCGAATATTCTGCCATTTAATATATGAACTTTGATCATAAAAAGGCAAGTCACCGAAAACCCCAAAAACACGTTAAAAATCATCACACCTGCTCAGGAAGGGATTATGGAAGGGTTTTAGCAGGGGTGTGAAAGAAGATCGATTTGGGCGATGTTGGCGTCAATCGGCAGGATCGCTGATCTGCCCGATAGGCAGCTAGATCATCGTGCCCTAAATTAAGAAAATAATGTAATTTTCTTAGTAATATTTTATTATTTTACTAATGGTACACCATTACATATTCAATATAGTATCTGCTAGTGCCTACTAACTCTGAAATAGCATCGCCTTTACAATTACGACGTAAATTAATAACACAATTATACGCGTGGAACGTGTTGTTGGAGCGCCTTCTGAAGGCAGCTTAGTCTATGTGGTCCATTAAAACTGCCAAAGCAAGTGAAATCCGTCGTGCTCATCAAAACTCACTTGATTGGTTGGCACGCACAAAGAGGATTCGAATGTTGATTGATGGAACAGGAGCACACACACGGATGGGAACATGAGCCTACCTAATGTGCAGCATTTACGATACAGGCTGCGATAAATAGAAGTGCTTCCTAAAGCAAAGAGTAGGCTGTCTATGAAGAGGTTGAAAATCGCTGAGAGAAGTTTGCATTACTCTTTCATTGATTTTAATAGAATTGCGCTGCGATTTTTGCGGCTTATCATGTCGAAACAATGAACGTGCGCATATTCCACATGCATGCCGCAGAAAATCGGGGAATTGGTATTGATAGCGTTCACTTCATACCCTAGACGACGCCTCCAATGTAAAATTTACGTTTGTACTTGTGCGATAAAGTCATGCTGACTAATCCGATTCTGTCTCCAGTCGTGATGGAAGGGATGCAATTCATGCAAATGTAGGTTGTGTTGAAGGTAAATGCGATTTCTACAAATTGCTCACCCACGTGTGCCGGTTTACTTTGTTATTGCCTGATATATACAATGTTCAGCATAAGGCCTCCTTACAACAGGTCAGTGGATTAAACTGTTTTCACATAACCTGCAAATCATTCTCCTTGGGAACATTTAGACAAAGCATTTTAAGTTGGTGCAACCGAGGATTCCAAGTGACATCACTTAGTTCAGGAGTTGCACCATATTCCCCTACTTACTTTCTTCTGGTGGCTTACTGCTGCTGCTGCACCGCTTACATGAACAGCTCTACCAAATGCGTTGCTTAGACGCTCAGTTAGTAAATGCTCAAATCGATTCGAATTAATAGTATTGCATGCCCTTTCGATTTTCATGCCTGCCACCCTTTGATTGGATCAGCATAAGCAAATATAAACGAAATTGCAGTAGATGGTGTGCTCATCGGACTGCGCTGACTGCCAAGATTCCGCAGTATATTACACGATTTATGAACATTAAGCTAGGAGTCGTAAAAACCTTCAACAATATGTTAAAGCACCAGTAGATTGTTAAAAATAAGGTTAAACCAAAAAAATGCCGCCGTAGCAATGCTTTAGAGTACTTCGAGCACAATTACAGGTACGTGCTAGACTGTTTAGAAATGACCAAGTTGATGGTCATTTTATTTGTCACTCGGTTGGATTGTGAGCGATAGTTTGCACAGATAGCGAATATTCTGCCATTTAATATATGAACTTTGATCATAAAAAGGCAAGTCACCGAAAACCCCAAAAACACGTTAAAAATCATCACACCTGCTCAGGAAGGGATTATGGAAGGGTTTTAGCAGGGGTGTGAAAGAAGATCGATTTGGGCGATGTTGGCGTCAATCGGCAGGATCGCTGATCTGCCCGATAGGCAGCTAGATCATCGTGCCCTAAATTAAGAAAATAATGTAATTTTCTTAGTAATATTTTATTATTTTACTAATGGTACACCATTACATATTCAATATAGTATCTGCTAGTGCCTACTAACTCTGAAATAGCATCGCCTTTACAATTACGACGTAAATTAATAACACAATTATACGCGTGGAACGTGTTGTTGGAGCGCCTTCTGAAGGCAGCTTAGTCTATGTGGTCCATTAAAACTGCCAAAGCAAGTGAAATCCGTCGTGCTCATCAAAACTCACTTGATTGGTTGGCACGCACAAAGAGGATTCGAATGTTGATTGATGGAACAGGAGCACACACACGGATGGGAACATGAGCCTACCTAATGTGCAGCATTTACGATACAGGCTGCGATAAATAGAAGTGCTTCCTAAAGCAAAGAGTAGGCTGTCTATGAAGAGGTTGAAAATCGCTGAGAGAAGTTTGCATTACTCTTTCATTGATTTTAATAGAATTGCGCTGCGATTTTTGCGGCTTATCATGTCGAAACAATGAACGTGCGCATATTCCACATGCATGCCGCAGAAAATCGGGGAATTGGTATTGATAGCGTTCACTTCATACCCTAGACGACGCCTCCAATGTAAAATTTACGTTTGTACTTGTGCGATAAAGTCATGCTGACTAATCCGATTCTGTCTCCAGTCGTGATGGAAGGGATGCAATTCATGCAAATGTAGGTTGTGTTGAAGGTAAATGCGATTTCTACAAATTGCTCACCCACGTGTGCCGGTTTACTTTGTTATTGCCTGATATATACAATGTTCAGCATAAGGCCTCCTTACAACAGGTCAGTGGATTAAACTGTTTTCACATAACCTGCAAATCATTCTCCTTGGGAACATTTAGACAAAGCATTTTAAGTTGGTGCAACCGAGGATTCCAAGTGACATCACTTAGTTCAGGAGTTGCACCATATTCCCCTACTTACTTTCTTCTGGTGGCTTACTGCTGCTGCTGCACCGCTTACATGAACAGCTCTACCAAATGCGTTGCTTAGACGCTCAGTTAGTAAATGCTCAAATCGATTCGAATTAATA